CCTGCTGTTCCACGGGCGCTGTACAAGTCTCGGAAGGTAGGAGGGTCAGGGACCGTAGGGATACGGGGGGGGGTTAGGGGTAGAAGTGGGGGAGTGAATGGAAGGGGAGGAGCTGTGAGGGAGCTGTTGTTGTTAATGATTAAGAATACTTATAATTATAATAATAATAATAATAATTAATACTAATCTTTATTTCTACAAGTACATGATACAAATTATCTCTTGTAATTTGAAAACGCCTTTTCCGATAGACTTCAAACTCTGGGTGTTTGTTTCTCTTAGAAGAAGGTTGAGGAGTGTTACTGGAAGCTGTGTGGGATGACAACTTCCCAATTCATAAACCATAACACGGCGGGGATAGAACCCGCGATCAGAGTCTCAAAACTAATGACCGTCGCGTTAGCTTTGAGACTCTGATCGCGGGTTTTATCCCCACCGTGGTATGGTTTGTTTGCAATCGTGCCATTACGATTTCGTGAGTCATGTTCCCAATTTATATATATATATATATATAATATATATATATATATTATATATATATATATATATATTAATATGCAAATATCGCAGTGGTATGTGTGTAAAACTGGAGAATGGTTCTCCTAATCGGCTTCAAACCTTGCACATTCTTGTAGTTCACGTGAGAGAAGCGGATATTTATTTACTGCACAGTGTAACTGCCAGTTTGCTAATTGTTTGACCGGGTGATATCTTGAAAATGCAGCCTCGGAACGATTTCAAACTTTGAGTTGATGGGTCTGACTTTAAGGGAAGATACTTTGTGAAGTTTGACAGGTATTCATAAAGGTGTTGATCTCTAGCTCCTGGTCCTCTTGGTGTTGATGTGTAGCTCCTGACCCTCTTGAAGTGTTGATGTGTAGCTCCTTGACCTCTTAAAGGTGTTGATATCTAGCTCATGGTTCTCTTGAAGGTGTTAATCTCTAACTCCTGGTCCTCTTGGAGGTGTTGATCTCTAGCTCCTGGTCCTCTTGAATGTGTTGATTTCTAGCTCCTGGTCCTCTTAAATGTGATCTCTAGCTCCTGGTCCTCTTGAATATGTTGATCTCTTGCTCCTTGTCCTCTTGAGGAGGTTGAGCTACATCGACAAGAGACTGTTTCACTACTCTGCACTAGAGGCTTATGCCGCACGCTGCACTATTCCTTACTGATAATAACCTATGTAACTGGAGTGGTAGAGGAGGGAAAGGAGGCTAGGATTGTGGGATAAGGGAGATATCTTTTTCTTATCACGCAGCGACCGACAGCTAATCAGTTCCTGGTGATGGTGGTGGTGGTGAGAGGTATAATAATAGTCACCAGGCTCCAGCATCTCTCAAGGTGAACAATATTCAACCAACAGTTAACTTTAAATATAATTCACACTAACCCGTGATCGTGGACACACACACACACACACACACCACACACACACACACACACAACACACACACACACACACACCGGGGCCAGGAGCTGTGACTCGACCCCTGCAACCACAACTTACGATAAAGCTCATGGAGCAGGGCGAGTGGACCTAGTAGCGACGAGCGAAGAAGCGAAGTCAGGAACTGAGACTCGACCCCTGCAACCACAAATAGATGAGTACACACACACAGTGACGACTAAGGGGATAATAAGTACCAGTCATCCTTGGACGTCTGCGCCTGGCTCGAGCATCTAAGTTCTAAGACAAGTGTTGTCCTGACTCTGCCAGTGACCTTCACCACCCTGCCAGTGACCTTCACCACTCTGCTAGTGACCTTCACCACCCTACCAGTGATCACCACCCTGCCAGTGACCCTCACCACTCTGCCAGTGACCTTCACCATCTGTGTATATACACTGGGAAATACACACCTCTGCGTATATAAACTGGGAGATACGTACACATCTGTGTATATACCCTGTGTCTGGAAGCGTGACCTCTACATCCAGCCAGCAGACTACCCGTGTGGGGGTGTGTCCCACTGTTGGACCAATGGAGCAGCCTCTGCTAATGCCACACCCTTCCCCTGACCAATCAGCACGCGTAGCCCTGAAGGTGTACGTCAACATGTGTTACCACGCAGTATTCTATTGGAGGTGGTATTATAAAATATAATGGTGTGATGTTCGCTACAATGTAAAGTACTAGAGAGCTTTCTTACAATGCTTAGTGCATTGTAAGGTAGAAAGAGCTCTCCTATAATGTTTTGTACATTATAAGGAAGTACGGAGGTGCTGGAGGTTTGACATCTGTCTTCAGGCAGCCAGGTCAGAGAAGGTTGATAATATGTGCAGGTTCTCCACACGTCACCCTCACAGCATCCAACAACACTGTATATGCACTGAGATGTGCATATATCTGTGTGTATACACCAAGAGACGCGTATCCTTATATATACATTGGCAATGCTTGTATTTCAGAATATACACCGAGAGGTGTGTACTTGTGTGTGTGTACACCGAGAGACGTGTCTCTCTGTATATATACACACAAGATAGTATACTCCGACTTGCACCATTTATAAAGTCACGGGATTGTGCCTTTTTGGTCTCTGTAGGGAAGGGAGGAAGTATCTTCATTAACCTTCAGGGTTTAATGGTCCAAGTCGGGCAGAAACATCGTCACAAGTTTCGGTCTCCTTAATGCGCATTAATTTGGAGTAAAAAGTCTTAAAAAATGCAATAAATCTTATGGAACCAAAATTATGTACTTTTGGGAATATAGGCAAATTAAATATGCATAGTTGGTAAGAATCACTCGCAGTCTGGCTGAATATTTTCGTGAATAAATATGCTCGAAACATTGTACAAATTTGTTAGTGTACTTCGTTGTTAGTAAGTCGTGGCGAGGAAGGAGGAGGGCAGAGGTGTTGAGGGGGAGGAGGGGGGGCAGTGGGAAGGGCAAGGGAGGGGCAGGGTACGGGCACAAGACGAGACTACCATTGGTGGACCCAGATGGTGTGAGAGTTGAGTGGGCTGGACGCAGGTGGGGAATGAGGCTACTGTCTTAGTTGCCGTTTGTCAAAGGCACGTGTCGATAAACACTTGGATGTTTGTGTGTGTGTGTGTGTGTGTGTGTAATCACCTATTTGTACTCATTTATTTGTGGTTGCAGGGTTCGAGTCTCAGCTCCTGGTCCTGTGTTTCACCTGGTCGATACAGGATTCATTACTGGATTGGGTTATCCTATGAAATTTACACATACATTAAACTATATATGTTAACTGTACTTATGCCTAAATAACCCCATTCTCCTGGCTGCGTGAGCTCTACCATGCTTATTCTTAAAGCTATGTATGTATCCTGCCTCGACCACCCCATCATCCACGTCGTTACACTTCCTAATCACACTCAGACTGAATAAATATTTCCTAATACTCTTGTGACTCGTCTGTGTTTTGAGCTTCCAGCTGTACCCCTTTGTACTTGTTTCCAGCCTCTCCAACAACCTTCCCCTGTCTGCCCTATTAATTCCTCTCAATATTTTGTACATCATTATCATGTCTCCCCTGGTATTTCTGTCCTCTTACGTCATCAGGTTAGTTTACCTAGTCTCTTCTACTAGCCCACACCCCTCAGCCCCGTGTATGTAAGTTTATTTATATACAGGTACACATAATTACAATTATCATACATAGGTTAATATATACAAAACAACCATTATAAAAAAAATAGTGAACTTCCAAGATCCCTCGTGATTTCTCACATTATCAAGGACCTTGATGATGTGAAAAATCAAGAAAGCGCTTGGAAGTTCACTTATTTTTTCACTGTGGTTGTTTTGCATATTGTGATATCACCTTTTTACTGTTATCTTATTGTATAGTTTAACATGTGTGTAAATTAACTAGGATATATAATGAAGCATAGTCAGTAGTGCCCTCCAAGATGGGCCTGACGTACATCGTGAATGACCTGGAGCATACCTGGAGGGTGCTTCGGGGGTTAACGCCCCCGCGGCCCGGTTCATGACCAGTCCTCGCGGTGGATCACGGCCGGATCAACCAGGCTGTTACTGCTGGTGGCACCCAGACCGACGTACGAGCCACAGCTCGGCTGGTCAGGTACTGACTTCAGGTGCCTGTCCAGCGCCTTCTTGAAGACAGCCAGGGGTCTATTGGTAATCCCCCTTATGTGCCGTGAGGCATTTGAACAATCTTGGACACTAAGATTCCTGAAAACAAATTTCAGATTCGCCAGATGCGCATTTTCTGCAGATGTTGACGTGCGCCTCGGACCGTACGATTGGCAGTTAATAATAATAATAATAATAATAATAATAATAATAATAATCTTTATTTCTACAAGTACATGTACAAGGTATACAGACCATAGCTGACATCAGTGACATACTACTATATAGAAAGCCACTTGTTATGCAGAACACTTCTGGCAAATTAGATTAATTTTGTCCCCAGGATGCGACCCACACCAGTCGACTAACATCCAGGTACCTATTTTACTGCTAGGTGAACAGGGACACCAGATGTCTTAAGGAACCACGTCCTAATGTTTCAACCTGTACCGGGGATCGAACCCCAGACCCAGTATGAGCTGAGAGCGCTAGCAATCAAGCAGACAGCAGCTACGAGAGTGAGGTTTGCACCCACTGTCATCCCACCTGCCATTCCCCAGTTTCCAAAACCTTACACTCGCTGGAATTTAATTCCAGTAACCACTTGTTAGACTAAACCTGCAGTGCACCCACCTATATGTCCTTGCAGGGATGTGTGTGTGAGTGTTATCTCCGAGATTTTATTGTCCCTGTGTGGGTTGTATTGTCCCTGTGTGGGTTGTATTGTCCCTGTGTGGGTTTTATTGTCCCTGTGTGAGTTTTATTGTCCCTGTGTGAGTTTTATTGTCCGTGTGAATTTTATTGTCCCTGTGTGAGTTTTACAGCCCTCATGTGCGTTTTATTGTCGTTAGTGGGGAGGGTAATACCTGAGGTGGGGGGAAATCCTCTCGTTGGAGGGGAAGGGGTATGTAAGAGGTGGGGAGGGTGGCGTGTCTGTGGTGGGAAGAGGTCTGGTTCTGGAGTCTCCATCACTACCTCCATCACTACCACCATCACCACCACCACATAGCCACTTCTCTCGTCTCATGCAGGACGCCACCAGCCCTCATCCTGCACGGTTCCTTGCTACCCACAGAGCGCATGTTAAACCACTGTAATTCTTCCCAAGTTTTCAGTCGTTCTTGAAGAGACCAGAGCTGAGTGAGAGTCAGTCGTTCTTGAAGAGACCAGAGCTGAGTGAGAGTCAGTCGTTCTTGAAGAGACCAGAGCTGAGTGAGAGTCAGTCGTTCTTGAAGAGACCAGAGCTGAGTGAGAGTCAGTCTCTATACAACTCCTTCCCTAGTGGAGCTACGAACTGAAACAATGCTTTGCTATATTTTGTCAGTTGTTGGAAAAATGAAGTGACAAACAATTTCATTACTTTTATATGGATTGATTTTTTTTTGGTATAGTGATTAAATAGAGAGTTTGTGAAAGAGAGACGAATAAGTCGTGTGAGGGAGTGCAGGCTCCGGACCACCGTACACAAGTGTCACCAGTGATCTTGTAAGACCAATGTCACCAGTGATCTTGTAAGACCAGTGTCACCAGTGATCTTGTAAGACCAGTGTCACCAGTGATCTTGTAAGACCAGTGATCTTGTAAGACCAGTGTCACCAGTGATCTTGTAAGACCAGTGTCACCAGTGATCTTGTAAGACCAGTGTCACCAGTGATCTTGTAAGACCAGTGATCTTGTAAGACCAGTGTCACCAGTGATCTTGTAAGACCAGTGTCACCAGTGATCTTGTAAGACCAGTGTCACCAGTGATCTTGTAAGACCAGTGTCACCAGTGATCTTGTAAGACCAGTGTCACCAGTGATCTTGTAAGACCAGTGTCACCAGTGATCTTGTAAGACCAGTGTCACCAGTGATCTTGTAAGACCAGTGATCTTGTAAGACCAGTGTCACCAGTGATCTTGTAAGACCAGTGTCACCAGTGATCTTGTAAGACCAGTGTCACCAGTGATCTTGTAAGACCAGTGTCACCGATCTGTAAGAGAAAAATATACACGAGTACAAGTTTGTGACAATGTGTGATAAGTGGTGGAACGTGAAGACCTCGAGCTACGCTAACAACGCCTTCAACCCCATCAGACAGATCGTTGACAACCTCCAGATAACCCCCCACCCTGAGAAGCCGCTCATAGCTCTCTCCATTGGTAAGTACATTCTCACAACCGCAACTCTTAGCCTGATTTTTTTCCCAATGGGGGAATGCCTTGATGCCTGGTAGAGCTCGTGATCCAAGGTGCTGGAGCTGCCCTTCACTTCTTCGGAGCAAGAAACACAGAAGGTCTAGTTCGAGTGAAGTGTATTATTAAAACTGACACGATGAGCTTCTGATCCAAAGAAACAGAGCAACTTTTCCCTTGGAACAAACCTGATTGCCTTCCGTTCATACCGAAGAAAATGTTTATCTGGAGAGTTTATCTGGAGAGAGTTCCGGGGGTCAACGCCCCCGCGGCCCGGTCTGTGACCAGGCCTCCTTAGGTCAGTGTCCCAGGATGCGACCCACACCAGTCGACTAACACCCAGGTACCCATTTTACTGATGGGGAACATAGACAACAGGTGGAAAGAAACACGTCCAATGTTTCTACTCTGGCTGGGAATCGAACCCAGGCCCTCGCCGTGTGAAGTGAGAGCGTTAACCACCAGGCCTCCAGAGCCCCTAAGTGTGATAAAAATGGTTTACTGCTTTCTGGTCTTTCAGCTATACCTTGTCTTGAAGCTGTGCATGGTGTTTGCCTTCACCGCCTCTATGTACAGTGTGTTCGGCGTATCATCCTCAGGCTGAAAAAGTACTTCCTAACGTCCTTGTGATACATCTTACGACTTTAGACGTCACCTGTATCCCCTGACTCTTTGCTGTGTGTGTGTCTATGTGTGTGTGTGTGTGTGTGTGTCTATGTGTGTGTGTGTGTGTGTGTGTGTGTGTGTGTGTGTGTGTGTGTGTGTGTGTGTGTGTGTGTGTGTGTGTGTCTATGTGTGTGTGTGTGTGTGTGTGTGTGTGTTCATCTACATGAAGAATTACACACAAGTATATTTGGGTATCTTTATTGTAGACGTTTCGCTATCCAGTGGCTTTATCAGTACATACATGGACATAATCTGATAACTGATGGAATGTATACGGAAGACAGTGGAAGACGAGGTAATCAGTCCCTCAGCCTATAAGCAGGAGTCAGTTTCTTAGGCATCACCTGAGTCAGTAACCGATACACATTTCAGAGAATCGTAGTCGAGACTCCGGTGCTCTGAACGGACTGATTACCTGGAGTTTACCTGGAGAGTTCCGGGGGTCAACGCCCCCGCGGCCCGGTCTGTGACCAGGCCTCCTGGTGGATCAGAGCCTGATCAACCAGGCTGTTGCTGCTGGCTGCACGCAAACCAACGTACGAGCCACAGCCCGGCTGATCAGGAACTGACTTTAGGTGCTTGTCCAGTGCCAGCTTGAAGACTACCAGGGGTCTGTTGGTAATCCCCCTTATGTGTGCTGGGAGGCAGTTGAACAGTCTCGGGCCCCTGACACTTATTGTATGGTCTCTTAACGTGCTAGTGACACCCCTGCTTTTCATTGGGGGGATGGTGCATCGTCTGCCAAGTCTTTTGCTTTCGTAGTGAGTGATTTTCGTGTGCAAGTTCGGTACTAGTCCCTCTAGGATTTTCTAGGTGTATATAATCATGTATCTCTCCCTCCTGCGTTCCAGGGAATACAGGTTTAGGAACCTCAAGCGCTCCCAATAATTGAGGTGTTTTTATCTCCGTTATGCGCGCCGTGAAAGTTCTCTGTACATTTTCTAGGTCGGCAATTTCACCTGCCTTGAAAGGTGCTGTTAGTGTGCAGCAATATTCCAGCCTAGATAGAACAAGTGACCTGAAGAGTGTCATCATGGGCTTGGCCTCCCTAGTTTTGAAGGTTCTCATTATCCATCCTGTCATTTTTCTAGCAGATGCGATTGATACAATGTTATGGTTCTTGAAGGTGAGATCCTCCGACATGATCACTCCCAGGTCTTTGACGTTGGTGTTTCGCTCTATTTTGTGGCCAGAATTTGTTTTGTACTCTGATGAAGATTAATTTCCTCATGTTTACCATATCTGAGTAATTGAAATTTCTCATCGTTGAACTTCATATTGTTTTTCTGCAGCCCACTGAAAGATTTGGTTGATGTCCGCCTGGAGCTTTGCAGTGTCTGCAATGGAAGACACTGTCATGCAGATTCGGGTGTCATCTGCAAAGGAAGACACGGTGCTGTGGCTGACATCCATGTCTATGTCGGATATGAGGATGAGGAACAAGATGGGAGCGAGTACTGTGCCCTGTGGAACAGAGCTTTTCACCGTAGCTGCCTCGGACTTTACTCTGTTGACGACTACTCTCTGTGTTCTGTTAGTGAGGAAATTATAGATCCATCGACCGACTTTTCCTGTTATTCCTTTAGCACGCATTTTGTGCGCTATTACGCCATGGTCACACTTGTCGAAGGCTTTTGCAAAGTCTGTATATATTACATCTGCATTCTTTTGTCTTCTAGTGCATTTAGGACCTTGTCGTAGTGATCCAATAGTTGAGACAGACAGGAGCGACCTGTTCTAAACCCATGTTGCCCTGGGTTGTGTAACTGATGGGTTTCTAGATGGGTGTTGATCTTTCTTCTTAGGACCCTTTCAAAGATTTTTATGATATGGATGTTAGTGCTATTGGTCTGTAGTTCTTTGTTGTTGCTTTACTGCCCCCTTTGTGGAGTGGGGCTATGTCTGTTGTTTTTAGTAACTGTGGGACGACCCCCGTGTCTATGCTCCCTCTTCATAGGATGGAAAAGGCTCGTGATAGGGGCTTCTTGCAGTTCTTGATGAACACAGAGTTCCATGAGTCTGGCCCTGGGGCAGAGTGCATGGGCATGTCATTTATCGCCTGTTCGAAGTCATTTGGCGTCAGGATAACATCGGATAGGCTTGTGTTTAATCAAATTTTGTGGCTCTCTCATAAAAAATTCATTTTGATCTTCGACTCTCAGTCTGGTTAGCGGCTTGCTAAAAACTGAGTCATATTGGGACTTGAGTAGCTCACTCATTTCCTTGCTGTCATCTGTGTAGGACCCATCTTGTTTAAGTAGGGCCCAATACTGGACGTTGTTCTCGTTTTTGATTTGGCATAGGAGAAGAAATACTTTGGGTTTCTTTCGATTTCATTTATGGCTTTTAGTTCTTTCCCGCGATTCCTGACTCCTAAAGGATTCTTTTAGCTTAAGTTCGATGCTTGCTATTTCTCTGACCAGTGTCTCCCTACGCATTTCAGATATATTGACCTCTTTTAGCCGCTCTGTTATTCTTTTCCGTCGCCTGTAAAGGGAGCGCCTGTCTCTTTCTTTTTTTACATCTACTCCTCCTTTTTCTTAGAGGAATAAGCCTTGTGCATACATCGAGTGCCACCGAGTTAATCTGTTCTAGGCATAAGTTGGGGTCTGTGTTGCTTAGTATATCTTCCCAGCTTATATCGGTTGGGACTTGGTTTACTTGGTCCCACTTTATGTTTTTTGTTATTGAAGTTGAATTTGGTGAATGCTCCCTCGTGACTAATCTCATTATGTCGGTCTGGGGCTCCGCGCATACATGACTGAACCTCAATTATGTTGTGATCTGAGTATATTGTTTTTGATATGGGACATTTCTTATCAGATCATCATTGTTAGTGAAGATGAGGTCTAGTGTATTCTCCAGTCTAGTAGGCTCTATTATTTGCTGGTTTAAATTGAATTTTGTGCAGAGATTTAAAGCTCGCGTGAGTGTGAGTTTTCATCAGAGCTGCCTCCTGGTGTTATTACTGCAACAATATTATTTGCTATATTCCCCATTTTAGGTGCCTTAAGTTGAAATCCCCCAGGAGCAAGATGTTGGGTGCAGGAGCTGGAAGGTTTCCAGACAGTGTCAATTTTTAACAGCTGTTCCTGAATTGCTGGTGATTTGCATCCGGAGGCTGTAGACTACCACAATGACTAGGTTTTGGTTCTCGACCTTTACTGCTAAAACTTCCACTACATCATTTGAGGCATTTAGCATTCTGTGCAAACAAGTGACTCTGCAATGTACAGCCAACCCCCCCCTTTTGCCTGTTCACATCGTCACATCTGTATAGGTTTAACCTGGGATCCATATTTCGTTGTCCAAGTGATCCTTTATGTGGGCCTCATGAAAGCCGCAAACATTGCCTTTGCCTCTGCAAGCAGTCCACGGATGAAAGGTATTTTTGTGTTTGTTGCTGGCTTTAGACCCTGTATATTTGCAAAGAAGAATGTTATCGGACTGGTGGTATTGTTGGTACTGGGGGGGGATTTTTTTCCGGCATTAGTATCTGTATCTGTTGGTTTGGAGTGGAGGCCATCGACTGTGGTTCCACTCCAGGAATGACTGGATTTGGTGTACGATTTCTGCCATTTCCTGCCAGTTTTTTTTCCTTCCTGGCACTAAAAAACCTCTCCCTCTTGAGTGGCTGTGGCTACCCAGGTTTTCCCATGGCCTGGATGTTTTGTATCTTTTTGTCCCCTTTAGATGGTATGCCTGGCAATTTAAGTTATAGCACAGTCTTTCCACAGTCTTTCAACAAATGTGACACCACCTATGACTGCTGCACCTCTCCTGCCATATGGTTTATAAGCTGCTTCTCTGCTCATATGCCGTATTCTATTCAAGATTGATGGACTGAACACATCGACTCAAGGTTGAGGGACTGATTACCTCATTCTCCTCCTGTTCTTCAAGTTTCTCCTACGTATGGACTAATGAAGCCACTGTGTGGCGAAACGTTTCCTCAATAAAGATACCCAAGAGTTACACATGTGTCTAATTTATCAAGGTACGCAGTGCTTTACCAATCTACCCACACTGGACAATACCTTGGAGTCCAGCTTGCGCTAGACTTTGATCCGTAGGTTCGAGTCTCCTTCAGCCAGAGATCAGTGTTTATATATATATATATATATATATATATATAATATATATAATAATATAAATATATATATATATATATATGTAGTGAGAATTTACTATAATCACTGCTTCGTATAGTCGATAGCCATTAACCGACGATGATCAAGGTACCCACTTAGCTTGTGCTGCTAGATCAGTTGTCATGTTCCTGCCTTAAGTGAATGTGACCT